TTATCACCATTCATTATACTTACGTAACTTCTATTAGTGCCATGCCCCTTTGGCAAGCTTAGTAGGTGCAGAAATGATGGTCCTGCTAGGCTGGCGTGCATATATATATATATATATATATATATAGCACACAAAACTGAATTAATAATAACTGACAAATAATTTTAATTGAGAAACCACGTAAGAGATAAGGTGGTTAATGACTATCCTGAAGTTAGCAAAACCTGAACCCTCTTTGTGGTGACTATCTGGAGCTTTTGTTTGGAAAGAGCACGTAAACCTTTAGAACTATTTTGTGTTGGAGAAGAAGCTGCTATTTTCATCTCTCACAATAAGGGACACTTGTGGTTCGAGGACCCGATCCCCGCTTTGTGGAATGAAGACACACGGACACGGAATATAAGGTTAATGGGCAAGAAAAGGCCACAACTTTATTGATTACAGCGATGGGAAGGCGGAAAATGAGGCAGAATGGCTGGTGCAGCAGTAACTTAGACTGCTATCCACGCCCCTTCCAAGCTGCCCGGTTGGGTGCTTACCTGTGGGCGTGGTGCGCCAGCCAGGTGAGTGGGTGACGTGGAAATCACGTCCCACCCACAACACCTCCCCTCTTGGAGGGAGGAGAGGCTTTCTCCAGCTATGATAGGATGTCCTACCTCCCACTCAAAGCACACAGACAGAGGCTCTTCCTTGTAAGTAAGACACGTTCTTCATCAGGCAAGTAACAGGTCAGGCACAGTGCTCAGGAGTCATGATACAGGAGTTCTGGGGAAGAGTAAGAAGTTCAGAAACAGATGGAAGCAATGTAGGTGTCCCAAGAAGTTTCACCACCCCTTCCACCAGCTTTTAAAGACAGGGCATGTTCACTTGTGATATACTCTCTTGCCTTTTGGGAATGTCAAGATTGCATGTGTGCTCTTCCATCTGTGAAGACCGCACCTAGTTGTAGTGGACAAGGCTGCACCCTCCTGTTTTGGGTCTTGTTTAGTGTTGGCTATCTTCTGTTCATCTTCTCTCCTCAACTGAGGTCTCTGCTCCACAGAAAGGACAGAGGCGAGAGGCGACAACCCACCTTCCCCTTCCAAAGCAGCTGAATTTGGGGGTTGAAGAGGGAGGTGCACCCAGCTCCAACCTAGGTTCCCACTATCTCCCTTCTGTTTCTTCTTCTTCTTCTTCTTCCTCCTCCTCCTCCTCCTCCTCCAGCATCAGAGCCTTCCAACCCAAGCCCGAACCCAACAATACTGTGAGGATCATGAGAACAACTTCCAGGCATCCTTATTTCCCAGGTGTTATAGTGCTTTGATGGGTCACACATTGATTCTGAGCACCAGTTACCTGAAAAATACGCATTCAGAAGTTGTGGTTGCATGAACTAGCATGACTGGGGGAGCAGATTATTCCATAGCTCGAAATCCTCACAATGGACAAGGGTGTGTTTTGAGGCTGTTTTTCTGTTTTTAGGCTGACTTTCTGGTAGTCACTTAGAGAGTGGTGTCAGAAAGCTCCCTGTCAGTTTTGTAGGGGTGGCAGTGGTGGCAGGGCCTATCATGAATTTGCCATTGTATGCTAATGTCATTTTGTAGCTTTTTGGATCCAGTATGAGTTGGAGACCAGATTTCAGTAGTGATGAATAGAACTGATTCTGCAACAGTGGAAATACTGGAACAGAGCTGTGCACAGATTGTACTATTGTGGGCATGTTAGCTAAGCAGACATTTGCTTGTTTTCCAAGAAGCAATTGACATTGCAGTGGAGGCTGGTATGCCAGGGCCCTCTACCCTAGAATGTTTTTAGAATGAAAAAAATATTAGAACTGATACTTGCGTTTATGGCCTCACACTTCTTGTCTTGTCCTGTCCCTTTTCTTCAAAATATGATTTTGATTCTGTCCAGTTTGTCAAAGCTCTAGCAGCTGCTCTTTGCTCTTTCTGCGTTTTGCAAATGCTTCTGTCTCCAATTTTCTTGTCATTGTTTTCAGAACACATAACATCTTTACTGTCTAGCTGGTTGACTGTGGACTTAATTTTTCTTTTGTTCCAAAGCTGAGTCTTTGATCCTTTATTGAAGAAATGATGGAAATACTTCTTTTGCATTGCAGCGCATTCCAACAAATTAATTAGTTTTTTCCCTGCTGCTACTTCCCTAGTAATAAAAGTGTGTCATTGCCATAGGTAAAGGTAAAGGTACCCCTGCCCTTACGGGCCAGTCGTGTCCGACTCTGGGGTTGCGCGCTCATCTCGCTTAAGAGGCCGGGAGCCAGCGGTGTCCAAAGACACTTCCGGGTCACATGGCCAGCGTGACGAAGCTGCTCTGGTGAGCCAGCACCAGCGCAGCACACGGAAACGCCCTTTACCTTCCCGCTGTAAAGCGGTACCTATTTATCTATTGCACTTAGGGGTGCTTTTGAACTGCTAGGTGGGCAGGAGCTGGGACCGAACGACGGGGGCTCACCCCGCCACGGGGATTCAAACCGCCATTCGATTGCCATACCTTGGACTATAAGGTGGTTTTGTTTATGTGGGAACTTTTGGGATACAATATGGTATCAATTTCAGGTGAATATGCCAGTGAGTTCTTTGAAAGGGAGGGTTGGTTACTCTGCTGTTGATTGTCAAAGCTCCTGATGGCCCTTCTTGCATGTTGACAGGAAAATAGAGGTTTTATTCACTGCTGTTAGATTGGGAGTCATGTCATGGAATTGGGACCCTGGAGAAAGTGGATCTCAGAAATTCAATACCTCAGGTTAAGTACTTAATTCGTTCCGGAGGTCCGTACTTAACCTGAAACTGTTCTTAACCTGAAGCACCACTTTAGCTAATGGGGCCTCCTGCTGCTGACGCGCCGTTCTCATCCTGAAGCAAAGTTCTTAACCTGAAGCACTATTTCTGGGTTAGCGGAGTCTGTAACCTGAAGTGTATGTAACCTGAAGTACCACTGTATTGATGTTTGGGTGCTAATAATCCCAGAAAAATTTTGTGAATGGCCCCAAATAGCTGTATATTTCACTGTTTTCCAGACATCCAAGTGTATACTGATATTATTATTATTAACATTCACCGGCTTACATCTGAGCTTTTTGGACATTCAAATTTTTTTCCTGAGATGGTCAGGGTTCACATGTCAATATTAACTTCCATCAAACGTCAGCTAACAGGGAGCTTTCGCATTTAAGAGAAGGGACACTACCTACATTTATATAAACATGGTGTGTATGAGATTGTATAATGAAATTTCTGAACAATACAAATTATTTTATTTCTTCTGTTGTGATTCTGTGCTTTTATAAAATAAATACATTCACAGTTTTGAGTAGCAAGGCTTGAACAGCACCATTACAAGTAGTTTATACTTTCTTTGTCTTCCAGTTTATTCTATTATTGTTGCTAATTTAAAAAGAATGCATCTGTGTATTTAGTGAGAAGATTGCTCATGGTGCTATACATGCCTACAACAGAAAAGGAAGTATTGGCATCAGTTTGGATGTATTAGAAAATGTGAGGAAACTTTAGAAAGAATGTTCACATTGTAAGATCCATCTTCATGTTGCATTTCAGGGGTTCAAGAATTGTGTCTAGGTTTTAGGAGTCAATCAGGGTCTTGCAGATTGAAGAGGAGCTGCTTTCTTGTATGCTTGTCTGTAACAGCATAGCATGTTATTTTCAGTGTAACAGATATTACAGTCTCAAACCTGGAATGCTTGTCAGGAAATCCCCACTCCCACACTCCATATGATTTAATATAACACCTGTACGGAAGGGTGACTAACTTGGCATCTGTTTGAATCATGCTATGGTGTTGCGAGACAGTGGCGTTTTCAGGGGTTGGTACCGATGAATTCATTTTTGCCTTTTTTCCCAACCTGCAACAGGTACGGAATGATCTGACTGGTGTCCTGTATGGGGAAGATATTGAAATCTCAGACACAGAGAGTTTCTCTAATGATCCCTGCACAAGTGTCAAAAAACTCAAGGTGGGTGCAGCTATTATTAAGAAGCAAACTGGGCAGTAGAAAATGAAATAATCATTGGCAATAGAATTGGCATTTTGCTGATAAATTATCCATGCAGTGCTGTTTGTTACAAAGAAGTAAATCGTATAGGATGCTGTGTTGTAATGGTGCAGGAATTAATATTGGAGGTAATATAATATTGGATGCATTAAAAGCAGTTGTGGCTCATTTTAAAATGCACTAGCAGAGTCAGATGGAGCAAAGTAGAAAAGCTGTGAATGCTGCAGTCTCTCACCCTTAGGTTCGTTCTTTCGAAAAGTGTACATCTAAGTTACCAACTGAGTACCAAATAGGAAAAAAATAGGGATGTATCTAATGCTGGTCTTACACAAAGAAGACCTGCTAAAATTAACAGAACTAAGTTAGTCATTTGTAATATAGAGTGCCATTTAGGCATAGGGCTCCTGCTGCTATCTAAGGGAGGGAAATATCTATGAGTTCATTGATAAATTTCACATTTTTGGCGAAAGTGGGAAACTCATTGGTCCTTGCTTTATAATATTGGCCTAACATATAAACACATGTGCCAGAAATGTGAGCTGGTTCTACCTTATAAAGTACTGTATTTTTTGCTCTATAAGGCGCACTTTCCCCCTCCTAAAAAGTAAGGGGAAATGTGTGTGTGTCTTATGGAGCGAATGCAGGCTCCATGGCTTCAGCGAAAGCAACGCGAAGCCTCCAGAGCGCTCCCGCTGGGCTCCAGATGCTTCGGGCGGCTATCCCTGAAGCCAGGAGAGCAAGAGGGATCAGTGCGCACCGACCCCTCTTGCTCTCCTGGCTTCGCTTCGCTGGAGAGGCACTGCGCAGCTTTCCCTCTCTGTGCAGCGCCCCTTCAGCGAAGTGGGAGGAAAAATGGAAGGGGCTCCGCTTCTCCTGCCGCTTCACAGAAGGGGCGCTGCGCAGAGAGGGAGAGAATATTTTTTTTCTTGTTCTCCTCCTCTAAAACTAGGTGCGTCCTATGGCTGGGTGCGTCTTATGGAGCGAAAAATACGGTAAGTGGCTTAGTCGGCAAAGCATGAGACTTTCAGTTTCTGGGTTGTGGGTTCAAGTCCCACGTTGGGCAAAAGATTGGGCATTGCAGGGGGCTGGACTTGTGGTCCCTTCCAACTCTACAATTCTATGATTCTCTGTGTGTGACAATATGTATCCAACATATACATGCTGTGATGAATGTGTGCACATGTGGGGCAAGATGAGCCTAGCGGTGAATGCATGTGGACTTTGACCCACGTCCCAGTGTGCAAACTATTTCCCCCTTTCCGCAAGAAGCAACAGTAAAATCCCACTTTGCACGAGAAAACTAAACATGGGTGATTGCACTTGTGTGATTTGTTAACTTTACTAATGTTTTCCCCCTCTAGTATCCAACTAACTAATAATCAGAGTAAAGCCACTGGAAATAAATGAACTTATGTTATTTGCTTTAGTTGAATGCAGCCTTCTGTGCGTGAGATTTTCGCTCTGCTGTTGGGTCTTGCCCGCATCTCTGCCATTATCTCGCTTTATGATGTATGCTGCCTAGATGCTGAACAGTAGATTATAATTTTCATGTTTATTACATTAGCCCTTCAGGACTGACCAAAAGTCGTAGGAGATCAAGGTTCCCTGCTGGAAGCAGATGCTATTCCAGTTGATTGACACTTCATACCTTCTGTGTGAATTGCTGCAGATAAAAAGTAGGGCATACACATCTAAATTCTTAATGCCCATCTTTCTATCTTTTTATATTCTGGTCTCCTCAGCAAAACCAGACATTAATGCATTAGGTGCAGTGTGTGCTTCTCAAAAATCTGATGAAATGCATGTTTTTCAGTGACCATACGGAGTGTTTTTTTTTAAAGTAATTCATTCTAGTGTCAAAAATTCAGTCCTTGATATCTTGATTTTTGTTTATATTTTATTTTTAATATTTTTAATATTAAAAATATTAATATTTTTAATATTTTTATTTTTAATTATTTTTACTTTCTAATCAAGCGCCCTGAACTTAATTTGCACAGGTAATGGATGGAGAAATTTAACAATGGAAACCAAAGACTGCCACCTTTTTGTGTGTGTATACCAGGACTTTCTTTAGTAAAAATTGAGGTACTGGTACTCAAATCTTGATAAAAGTGTCGTGGGTGCTGGCACACAAAAGCTGCCATGGGCAGCAAAAAGATGCTGATGGCAGTACTATTACAAAGAAAGCAAAACAAAACCATTGCTTGAAGCTTTCTAGAGACTTTGAGACATTGTTATTGAGCTGTCGTTACCCTTTGCACTTTAATTTTTGGTCTCTTGCCTTGGTCCCTGCTGAAATTCATTATTCAGGGTTTTCCCCAAGTTGTCTCCTAGAAAAACCAGACTCGTTCCCAAGAAGGATAGCCAGCACTGATGAAAATACAGAAGTGATCATTTTGAAGAGACCATCAATGGCAGCCCCTGCACTGTGTCCGTGTTTTCCACTCCCTTGTGCCTGCAGACATTTTTGAAACATTTTGATAATTTAAAAAAAAAGTTTAGTAAAATACAGGATGGCTGCTTAGCACACTATCCACATGAGCAACAATTTATCTCTAAAAAAACACCCCCAAAAGCAGTGCAAAGATACTTTCGCACTCAGCAATGTCTTGGCATTTCAAAATATTTTCATTTTGCCCTTTCTGTATCTTCTTTTAAGGGTGAACTTGGCTATACCAGACACTGCTCAGAATTCAGCTTACTGAGTTTCACTGTCTCCTCCCCTCCGAGGTGTTTCTTACCATGCCATTGGTGTCATTTTCCTTGGCAGGTGAAGTCATGCCTCTTCGCCTAGGCTTTCCGCGAGAGGGGATGTGCATTGGGTAGCTGAATTTTTGTTTCTGCTGCTGGTTTCAGTTGTAATTGAATTCTGTATTTTGTTTTTTACAGTATTTTTATTTTACTGTTTAATTTTGGGTTTGGTTTGTGTGTATCTGCTGCCTAGCATCTCCCAGTGAAGGACAGATTATTAATAGTTTTAACAACAAACAAATGATTTATCAGTAAAATTGTGATAAGCATTTGATCCCCTGTGGGGATAGCAAGAAAGCTAATCCTAAAGCCCTGTTCCCATGAATTGCCTTGGTGCCTCTGAAACATCTTTTGAAGGTTTTGAAATCCTTCCAAGGGTCTGACGCCTGTTAAGTCTTGTGACTTGACTGGGTTAGAATCCCAACTGGATTGTGATTTGGTGGGAGATTAAAAATATTTATACCTAGGACTAATGTGCCTTTGTTGCGAGTGAAAAGCATACATATATAGTCCACATTGTTGCACTGGTGGGCTGAATCTGGTTGCTCCACTGGTGCAGCCATACAGCCCCAAACTCATTGCTCCCCAACCCCCGTCCAGGTTAAGCAACAGCGAATCTAGTGCTGGTTGGTTGTGGTTCTGCCTCAACACATGGTGCCACTTCTGGTGATATCTGAATCCTAGACTACCCAGGAGGTGCTTGTTGGTGTAAAATATGAAGCACCAATTAATTTTTTCTATAAACAAAGAGCATTTCAGTAATATAAGGCATTATAAAGGATGCTGTATGGACCACATAAGCCTTTGGACCTCAGCTTAATTAACAGACTCATCTGAAAGAGCACTGTTGGTTGCCTCCCATGTTACAGAACCCTGATTGGCTTTTGCCAGAAGTCAGGCTTTTAGTGTTGTGAGTCCTGTGTTGTGAAATACCCTTCCAGCAAAGATTCGGCAGTTATCCTCACTTTTTTTGTTTTCAGGTGTCTTTTGAAGGCCATTTTATGGGAGCAGGCTTACGTGGCTGTTTAAACTTTCTTGATGAGCTAGTCATTTCAGGCTTTTTACGGTGCCTTGTGTATTGAGCTGGTGGCAATAAAAAATAATTACTAATTATTATTAAATAATTACTAATTATCTCACACTTGTGAGAGGAGGAGAAGGTGGTGATTTCACTAATACGTCACTTTTTATTGTATTCTGCAGGGAAATGATGTCCGAATTATCCTTGGCCAGTTCAATGAGGAAATGGCAGCAAAAGTATTCTGCTGTGTAAGTAAAGAAAAAGAGAGGGAGAAAAAGAGGGGATCTCTGCAGACTTGGCTTTGGCCAATGCCTTGATGGGAGATAACTTGGGAACTCTATGTATGCCACCTTGACAATTGAAGGGAAAGCAATAAATTTTCCCAGCTGATGGACGAAAGGGCATGTTGGCTTTTGGACAAGGCAGAAGACTTTGAGAGGGCCTTAGCTAGAAATAAATGGACAGGCCATTTTGCAGGAAGCTACGCAACTACACATGCCAGGAGAGAGGGTGGCATGCTGTCAGCGCTGGCTCAGATGCAGCTCAGCATACAAGACTCAGTGTATTTAATTCTTTATTTAGGTAAATGGCATACAGCTTGGCAGTGCTTCCCAGCCGGACTTGCTCCCATTAAGCAGTTGCCAGGACTGAAGGCCTCTGTGCTCTTCTCCCCCCTGAGACTCCTCAGCCAGAAGTTTCCCAAGCAGCCTTAAACTACGATGTCGGGGGGAACTGTGCTCTTTGTTCTGCCGCAGGCATAGCCCTCTGTGTCCTCGGAGGCAAAGGGGGAGGGGAGCTTAGTACAGTAGGGATGGCAAGCTCCTGGGCTGCTTCTGCAGACTCTGCTGCTTCCTCCTCTGCTTCATCTGCAGAGTCTGCACTGCTTTCTGCACCTGGCTCTTCTTGCTTGCCAAAGCCTGTAGCTTCTTCAGCATCCAACCATCCTCCCACCCCACTTCACCCTTGGACCTGTCCTCAGGGTCCCACCACCACTCCCCGGGCTCTGAGCCTCCCTCTTCTGAGGCTTCCCCAGATGGTACCTCCCAACATTCCTTGTCATCCAGACAATCCCTATCACATGCTGTGGGAGGGGAGAGTATTCCAGATCCCAACTAACAACCATCTTTATCCATATGGCTCAGCTTGAGTGACTGAGAAGGAGCAGACTTTCAGTCTTGCTCTTTTTCTCACTTTGGAGCCCCATTCCTTCTTGTTTACTTTTTGGCCATCAAGCCTATATATGGAAGCTCTTAATGCTTCTGCATTAGGCATATTAATTATGAAGTTGTTTGTATTATAGCAGTCCTCAGTTGATGGCATCTTCTTGTGTATCCAGTACAAGGTATTCTTATTGAACCAGATGTGGTGGGCCCCTATTTTTGCATCTCTCTTTACCACTATTAATGCCACTCTTAAGCTCCCGCCTAATTGGAAACAGAGCAGAGTCATCCCAAGATATAAAACGGGGGACCCACAAGATCCGCGTAACTATCGACCTATCAGCCTGCTAGACATATCATACAAGGTTTACTCTAGATTCTTGCTAGAGAAATTAGTCGAGTGGGCAGAAGAAACAAAGCTATTCCACCCGGAACAGGCTGGCTTCCGTAAAGGTCACAGCACATCTGGCCAATGTCTTGTTCTATTTACCCTGATTGATAAATACCTAAACAGGTTCAACTGTAAACTACACGCGGCTTTTGTGGACCTGACCTCCGCTTTTGACTCCATTCCCAGAGATAGGCTATGGCAGAAGCTTAGTTCCACCAACATAGATAAGAGACTCCTCCTCCTTCTCATGGAAATTCATAATGACATATCGGCCAGAGTAAAATTCGGCCCTCTGGGAGCTCTTTCTGATTCTTTCTCTCTGAATAAAGGGGTCAAACAGGGCTGCCTCTTGGCCCCTTTTCTATTCAATTTCTATATCAACGACATCGTTACAACTATGCAGGCCCTAAATCAATCTGCCCCCTCTTTACAACAGCTTAAGATCCCCATATTACTCTATGCGGACGACATGGTGATACTGTCTTTAACCAAGCAGGGCTTAAACAACATGCTCAGAGGGCTCATGACATATTGTGATACCAATTCCCTCAAAATCAATTTCGCCAAAACCAAAATTCTTACTTTTGGCACGAAAACTCGGAAGTCATTCTGGAATTTTGAGGGCCACTCTATTGAATATTGCTCAGCATTCAAGTATTTGGGAATCACTTTTCAGCATGGGCTTAGCTGGTCAGCTCACCTAAATATGACCATCCTGGCTGCCCGTAGAACCATCA